CTGGAAGCCACACTTTGACCATGTCCCTTAAAGAGTTCTCATGCAGCTGGACCCCTCAGCTACCGATCAACACCACGTCCCCACCCTCCTCATTGTACAGATAGGCACAAAGGCCAAGAAAGGTCAGGGAATCTTTCTCAGCCAAGTATCAGCTGAGAAACATGACACTGTAAGTAATCAAGGCAACCTGCTTTTAGCATATGCTAAAGGCAAAGGATTCCTTTTCACCAGTATCCTGAGTATGAAATAGAGTAAGGTAAGTAGGGAACGAATCTGCTTTTAGTAACCTTTGCATAGAACCCCACAATCAGGTGCTGTAGCATCATGTAAAATCCAAAACATAGGAGGCCATACAGGTTGGTGATCTGGAGGTGAATTTTCAGCATTCATTCCGTGGTATTCACTGAGTGCCTAGTCTGTGCCAGGCCTGCAGCCCATGATAACCAATCAACAAATACTCACTGGAGTAATAATTAATTCATTAGCAAAGCATAATAAGATAAAGCACATACAGATATGGTCAGAGATCAATGAGAAAAATGAGCAAAATTTATTTGGATAGAGCCATAGACGGTCCCCTAGAGGAAACAGCTTTGGAACTCCATTTGGAGGAGTGAGAAGCATGTATTGTTGATGAGAAGAAACACATCCCAGAGGGGTGGCAGTGCCAGAATCCAGGACATTGTGGACATAAGGGATCACCCTGTAATGAAGTCTCCTGAGAAGGAGACGGAAGTGGAAGAACAGGAAGAAGGAAGAGAACTATACCTGGGGAGCCTGGATTGACTCCCCACTCTGCACTTTTGTGACATGCCTTAACTGAGTAGTGCCTAGGTGCCTACTAGAATGCAAATGTAAACGTAGCTATATTACATTACATAGAACACAAATATAACTGTGGCTATATTCTGAAGTCATGATTAAAAAGTAAAGTTAAAATTCAGAGCAAAACTAATAAACACAAACTTAGCTTTCCTTGTCTTGCTTTAATTTTTTTATTGTAAAACAATAATGAGATTTAACACTATGTATACATATTTCTTAAGTATGGCAAAAAATATAATCCATTGTATAAGAACACGTGTATTTTTTAAATTTTATTTTAAAGGAATTAGATCCTTCCATCAAGAAAAATTGCAAACCAAGAGATAGCCCCTAGGAATCATGAATAATTATGTCTTCATTGCTAGTTTCTATCACAATCAACAGTGGTATTATTCTAGAGGGCCTGATTATTTTTTCTGTATGACTTTGTATTAGAATAACATTCTCAGCTTTTCTGCCACAGTGATTACCACTAATCCTATTTTATTCTTAATGATAATTTCATGGGGATTAAAAGTACCAAACCTTGAAGCCTGTTATGCCAATAAATGTTAAGAAAATAAAAATCACAAGAGACTGTAGTTAAGCTTCTGGTTCTGTATTTGTATCTTCTCTTTAGCCAATTGTCTCTTCCTTCGGTGTGCCTATAAAGTAGTGTGATTTTTTAAAAAAAATATATAGTCCATACACTCAAACTTGTGCATTCACATGGGCTTTGTCCTGCCAGTACATCACCTTGTAGGGCTATACTCATTCTGCAGGTGCCACTATAGCAGTTTTGTAGTTCTCCTATTAAAATTTAATTGGGAGAACAAACAAGATGGC